GTTATTACGTACTCGTTATCGAAGTATTACCAAAACACGTGAGAAAATCGACGTGAAAAATATTATTTTCAAGTCGAAGGAAGGAACGATCTTCGCATCTCAATGATAAATACTTAATGTTTCTTTAAATGTTGTCTAACATGAAAAGAAGGTAAGGTATTAACACTTTTGAAATTTCTATAAAAATTTAATAAAATGAATAAAAAGTAAAATTAGCATTTCTAACCAAAAAATTTAAACAGAAAGATATTTATTTTTTATTTTTTGAAAAAAAATAAAAGAACAGTTTTTGAAAAAAAATAAAAGAACAGTGAAGATATCAAAATTAAGTGAAGATAATTTTGATAGCTTCACGGCTCATAATTAGAGGACTTTTGCATGGAGATTTAAATATCATTTGACATCATGTATTTATGAAGCGCATCGAAGATTTCGATTATCGCTGTAATCACTGCGTCTTAACTGATGTAAGCTTTTAAATAAATGGGTCAGATATAGTCGCTGTCCGATGTCATAAGCAGGGTCATTTGGAACGCAGGCGCCATGAAGTCATTGCTTGAAAAAGCGACGGGAGAATAGAAAGGGAGAGTAAAAGTAGCAAACAAAAACTTTTCAAGTACCGTGGACGTATACTGTCGTTAATCATATGAAGTCAATCTATGTCAGATTAGCAAGATTGATTAGGTACACTGAAAGCCTGATGCATCAAAGGGTACGGAAGGGGATTAAAGTATATTACGTTCGATGTTCCATGCTACTTCGACGCTTTTGACAACGTTGTAACAGCAGCTTCCACTATCAAGATTTCACGATAAAATCACATATAGAGCTTTACGTTCGCGCGTGAAATCTTGACAGAAATAAAATAGTTTTCGATAAACAGATTTAAAAGAAGAAATTGATAATTACGATAAAGTGGAAGACTCCAATTTCCTAATTATCATTATAGTCATTATTGTTATTGATTGTAGCCACGAGAAGAAAATGTACAAAAGCGAAAGATAACTCGGCTTCATTCTCGGTAAGTGACCATCATCATCACGGAAATCGGCGCGTTAATGGTTGCATCTTCTTTTTTTCCTTTTCGTCTTATTAACGAGTGACGGCGCTTAAACGTCTAAGAAATTGCATCGGGGGGCGTATGTAAATCATCCTAGCAGCATCAAGGAATGAAAAGGGGACTACTATGTTCGAGCTGTGTTCATTATCTACTTTGTATCGCACTTAGCAGCCGTCCATTGTTATGATGTAGACGTTGGCTCTTGTTGTAAATTGCACTAGTAAATGAACCGAATATATTTATCAATGTGCAAAGTTGCACATAGTTAGCATATACCCACCCACCCACCCACTCACTCACCCACCCACCCACCCACACACACACACACACACACACACACACACACACACACACACACACACACACACACACACACACACACACAA